CTGTTGATATAAATGAAGTCAGTTAATATTCAACAGAAGATTCCATGGCCTCAATTACAACTTTCCGGTCGTCTTTTTTGCAATAAATTTCTTCTGTTAATTCAGATTCCATGCAGACAGAAAAGAAAGACAAATGGAAGCTTAATATTCCAGTAAGACTGGTCCCTATGTATGATTAGGAGCTGGAACATCCATGTAGAACGAGTGTTGATCTCCTTACATTATTACCATGTTGGACAGTGATGACTGAATGGTCACCAAGACCCACAGGACCAGGCTCCTGTTAGATATACTGTTTGTAATCACACGCATTGATCCATCATAATCATTCATTCATCTTTCAAGCATAACAATTGCTTAATTTCACTGTGGAAGGACTAATGCTTTATTCAGTGTAGGTAAATGTCTGCATCAACATTTAAATGTCCTTAAAAGGGGGAGTCCAGGACATTTCATGGTCCAAGTGAGCAGCACCTCTCAAATTTAAAACAAGTGTGTTTCCTGTGACGTCACTGTTTGTCCAGAGACGACTCATCCAGCCCACACACTAGGTGTATTAAGAACAAGGTGTGCTCATTGTGAATAGTCTGATAGTAATGTGTGTGTTCTGTTCTCCATCCCACCCCCACCTGCTCAGTCAGAGTGTTTCCTGAAATGACGAGAAACTGGATTAAACAGTGTGTGGAAGGAAACCACAATGAGCTCAAGTTTTAAATTTAAGTTTTTTTTCTTAAGCGAATCTTTAGCTTCTTCCAAACTGACTTGTAGTTATGGTATAGTTAGCTTCAAAGCAAGGTTTTGCTGAATTTTGCATAGATAGATCTATCTTTGTGCAAACTGCTTATTATGAATGTGTTGTTTGAGTCTCTGCAAACAACCAGTAGGTTAGCATGAAGTACACATTTCCAATTAAATCATTTTGCGCTTTTACACTTTATTCTAATTGGCTAATAGTTATCAAACTGTAAACATTCATTTAACTTTCTGAATCAAATCAGTCAGTGGGAGAGTCACTGTGTCTGAAACTGCACCACATGCTCACATTTCCTCTCTCTGAATCTCACCTGTGGCCACAGATACGTGTGTGTACTTGTTTCCACCGACTCTGACAAATGTGTCCTTAAGCATCATGTTTTTCACTTGAGAAGCAGCAGAGCAGTACAAGCTCCTATGTGAGATTGTGAAACAGTCAGTGGTGTTTCACTATTTGACATAGTGGGGTTTTAGGGGTCAACCCAACCACATCCTGTAGATGTGCTCACGTGGAGTATTTCTCACCTGTTTTATACCTTTTTATAGTAAAGACTAGACTAAAACATCTGTGACTGCTGCTTTATGTATAGATATAAAGTGACCTTTTGAACCGACTTACGTAGTATTGGTAGACTTACATTTTTACTGTTTAATCCAAAATGGGCGTGGTAAGTCACTAACGTTTTATACTGGGGACAGATGATCAATCATATACAAAGATAATCTCTTTGTTAACTTACCTACATTTTCAGACAGCTAGAAACTAGGAAAACATGTTACCAAAAACAAAATAACTAACTTTTAATATCTATTGTGGTTTTTAACTCTAATTTTGTTCTATCATCAATTGGACGTATGTTTTCCTGAAGTGTTGGTGTCTTTTTCTCTGCCCTGAGGCCACACACAGAGCCTGTAACTAACAGGTTGACCTGGAGCCTTATACCAACAGATGATCAGTCACTGGTGTAGGCTGAACCATTTGTTAACCTACGTACTACATACATAGTTTGTCTCATTCTTTAAGGTGTTGTTGCTCATTTCCTAGCAGATGGCACTTTAATATTGTAAGGTGCTACATAAGCAAAGGTAATTTAGTAATACCATTTATTAATGTGATTTTGTTTTTAATTTATATTTTCCTATCAGTTAGCCAGACAGTAGGTTTAGACCAGATGGGAATATACTGTATGGATTTTGGATATTATTCTGCCTGTCGTACCTCCACAACAAATACTTGCATTATCCTGAAATATTTCATTTCCACCTCCCAGCTACACTTATATTCTGAAGTTTGGCCAATCTCTCAGTTCTGTTTCAGAAGTAGGAAAATTAACTCTGGGATTGGAGGAACCATAAACTAGGAAGTCAGTCCTGTTATCGACTTCTGAACGTTTTGGAATGATATATCCTGAAGGAGTTGAGAACCTTCACTGGCCAGTCAGTGTCATGTCAGTGTGTCCTTACATCAACAGTCTACCTGTAATGGCTTCTCTTTCTCGTTTTTGTGTGACAGAAAGTGATAACCCTTCTGCCCTCTTCGACGACTCCCTGGGGTTTTTTTTTTTATCAACGCGACCTCCTGCTCCTGTTTCGTTGCTCTAAACATATCTTGTAGATTCAGATAAGAAGTTTTATATTTGGTATTGTTTGTGCGACTCCTATGTTCTGGATACTTTCTTGACTTTTTTCAAAGAATGCAGACACTCTCACCTCAACTGGGTGTGTTTGCTTCAGTAAATGTTTGCCTTAGTCAGCCGTTCGGATCATTTCATTGGAGGGGGGCAGATTTCAACATGTCCAGGGAAGAGGAATGCAGTTGCCTGGTGCCCCTCTCCCATTCCCGTCCCCTGTCTAGGCCTTTGACACAGTGTTTATGAGGAGGCGATGAGCAGGGAGGTTGATAGGGGGAGGTAGAGATCAGACACTGTTGTATTTGGGAACAGGTTATGAGTTGTGCTGTCATGGCTGAGTCAACGTTTTGAAACTCAGGTAGTGATCATTGTTATGCTCTGGATGAGAGGTTTCAAATCTTTAAATAAGGGAACTGTTTGTTGAACGTTTCCTGCTTAAATTAATAAACTGAAAAACTGATCATTTGTTAAGCTGGATGTTATTTGAAAAACACAAACAGTTATTTAACCAGGTCTGTTCCAGGGTCCAACTAGGACATCTGAAGTTTCACGTCTGTAACTTTTATTTATTTTAGGTGAAATTTCACTCATTATTGCTTAATTGTTATTGCTATGTTGAAAACTATTGTCCAAGTAGCAAAGAAACAATGACATATGCAAATGTCCTTTAGAAGCTTGGAATCAACTACAGTTCCCGTTTTAACAAAACTGGTTTAAATAGAGAACATTATTGTGTCACTGACTTTCCATCCACATTTAACAAAAACACAGGTTGACCCTGGTGTCTGTGCTGAGACAGTTAGATAAAGGTTGACCATGTGAAGAGGTCAGGTTGAACTCTGTCTCCCTCTGTTTGGCTACAGGAAAGCCCTTTGCTTAAAACACCAATTATTAGCCCTGGTCTTTGAGTTCCTGCTCTACAAAATTCCCATCTCTTCTGAGCAAAGTCCACACAGACTCAGTTCCTTCTGTTTACAGCAGCAGTGTTGCAGATGCATAAAATGATGCAGTTCAGACAATAAGAATAGGCTCATTACATTTGTGCCCTCAGTTATTGTACAATAGCAGAAATTCAGACACGTACAAACACAATAATACATACATGCCTTTACACACCCACAGTTAGACATTGTACCTGGCCCTCTGCACGCTCTCATTTGCTGTGCCATAAACTTTGTACTATGTTGAAAATGAATTACCTGAGGTGTGTCTTCACAGATTCTTCATCATCAAGGATTCAGTTTTTTTCTGAATGTTGTTAATGTGTCATATGAATTCCACTCAAGTGGACCTCTGACCAGACCTGCCTCGGAAGTGTGCAATAAGGGAAACAGGCAGCTCCACCACATGACCTGCGACTAATGTGAGCAGAAGCACTGCAGCAATGACTGGGGAAATCCTCTAATATTGAGCAATTCTTGTATCGTGATTCATCTGTGAAGAACTACCAGTCTTCATGTCGGAACAGTGCAGAGCTGAGTCATTAGGTTTTAATTTGATGGTACCACTGTATCCCAGTTACAGTCAGTGTACCTACAGGCTTATCTCACTATCATCCACTTTTTAATTTTCAAACACTGCCAGTAAAATGCTAGCATTAAAACAGGAGTGCCTGGTTCTTAAGGATGTGTATCTACTGTAGGATAGCATTTTTATAAGGCACAACCTACCAACTGACTTAATGGTCACATACACCCTGTAGCAACTTTAGCCCCTTCTATTATTAACGACACTTGCTATCATTGCAGTACAGTATTGCCCCATTCAAGGGGTGAAATGAAATGTTCTACACTGAACCATCCATTTCCTTTGTGCTGCTGAAATGAGCTTTGCTCTGCTTTGTCAGATTTGTTGATTACTGGAAAGTTTCAATGTTCTGTAGCTTTTTTGTATTTTATTTTGATTTCAAGTCGCTTTTATGTATGTCTTGTTTTTGCCTGTTTTTCACATGTGTAATATTAATTTTATAATCCTATACATTATTCACAATGCTTGTAAAATAATGTTTTCCACAGACTTCAGCAGCACCCAGTGTCTCTCAGGCAGTGAGAACTGGCCTGTGCCGTCACTTTTCCGCCTACAGAGCTAATAAATCTTGTGCTGACAGTAAATAGTGCGTCCCAGTACACAGCCTTCCAGAGGAACTAATCCCTCTACTACTTCAAAGTTTGTGCTGTGTTAAAAGGTGCTGATGTAGGGAGTGTCTGCTTGAGTGGACAAAAAGATCAGGTCCATCACCAGGAGGTTACTTTGTCTGCCCGGCCTTTGTGTTTTGGAGTGCCCAGACTTGTTCTGGGTCATGCTCCGACTGCTCCAACCCTTTCTTCTTGCATTTCACTTACCACAAGCACCAGCACATACTTACATTTGTCTGTGAAGCTGTATCATTAAAAAAAAATTTAAATGCTTTGTTACCTGTAACATAAAGACACGCAACGTGTCCTTTCTCTATTGTTAGATCAGTAGGTTTATCTGAAGCATCGTCTGGTCTTTTTATGTTGCTGCCTCTGACTCTGCTTTGTGTTGACTAACACCGTCAAACGACTCTGATAGGATCTGGTGGTAATAATCTTTATCTGTCTGTCTGTGTGTGTGTGTGTGTGTGTGTGTGTTCAGGCTTCTTACAGGAGCACCTAAAGAGAAGGCCCACTCTATACCAAATGTAAATGAAACAGGTGCCGTCTACTCCTGTCCCATCACCACCGACTCCACCGACTGCACCAGAATGGACCTTGTCAGCACAAGTAAGCATGAACTCTTAGCCTGTTAGTATTAGCCTCTAAACCACTCTTTGTTTGTTTGTAAGAAATTGGTGAAGCAAACTAGTTGCAACTCAAGCCAGGAAAAATCATCCACATTCAACTTGTTAGAACGTTGTGACGATCTTATGGTCTTTACTTAAGTTAATATAGTGTATTTAATTCATTTACAACTGTACCAACAGAAGGCTCTCACTGGACAGTCCAGGTTAGATATTTCACTACACTTTGACCCTGGCATTGGCATTTATAATTGTTATCTGCAGCCACCACCACCTGCTAATATTTTGACACATAAACACAACCTTGGATCTGGAACACTGCTGTCATTTCAACAGAATGGTGCAAGCCACAGAACTGAGCTTATATTCCCAAAGACCCTAACATATTTCACATTGCTGGTGTCTGGCAGCGATGCTTTACCACCTGAATGCCAAACATCACATTTAGGCCATTTGCAACATGAAGCCAAGTGTTAGTGTTGTAAATACAGAGAAACCTACCCTTACTTAAAGTATGACCTAATTAACCTGGGAAATTATAATTCTTTATTTTGACAAGCACGGGTCTAAACTCCATGCCCTCACAACTGAATGCCAGTTCAAAAAAACATTTAATTCTTTAATGTTTAAATGACTGTGAAACAATGATCAGTGATATATTCTCACGTTACAAAGTTTTATCTTAAACCACTGAGTTCTACGCACATTAAAAATATTAAATTGACTTTTAGAGAAAAGAACAGTTGGGCATCTTATAAAGGCACTTGTTCTCAGAGCAAAAAATTCAGATTCAAGCATTTTCTTTCTGACCATTGTAGAAGAAAATACACTCATTAAGCTGCAATAATAAATGTAGTTTTTACCCCAAGGTGAATACAGCAGTCCCTATGGGTTAAAAGTAGGAAATAAAGTGTTGTTGGTGTCTTCTTGATGTATTAATGACTGTTGTTTCAGTCATTGCTTAGAAAGCTTAATGTATATTGACAAACAAAGCCTCGAGAAAGGACAAAAATGGTGTGAATCTGCATTAGGCCTGTAATTGTATTCTTTGTTTTGTCACCTCAAAAGCAAACCCTTCGGAGATGGTGGAGGGAATGTGGCTAGGAGTGACTGTGGCCACTCAGAGGCAGCAGGAGTCCGGACGGGTGCTGGTGAGAGCAACCCTGTTGAACACTTGTATTTATTTATCCTCACTGTGCAGAGCTGAGATAAGATCTGTCATCATGTAATACTTTGTTCCATAGGCCTGTGGGCATCGGTACGTGAAGATCCAGGGAGGTGCAGAGGAGCAGCGTCGGATGATAGGGAAGTGCTTCGTCCGGAGTAATGATCTGAGCTATGATCCAAATGATGAGTGGCAGACGTACAGTTATGAAGTCTGCAACCCCAACTTTGACATGGAGCTGGAGGGTATGTGCAACATGGGCATCTCAGGCGGTATGACGGAAACTGACGTCTACATTGGTGCCACCGGCAGCTACCAGTGGAAAGGTGGGCAATGAAGAGTTAATGTTTTTTTTTTTGCATTAACTCTTCAAAACTCTGTTTTTGCTGCTTAACATTGAAATAATGGGCAGGTTTCACAGACCGGCACTGAACAAATCCTGGGCTTACACTGGGATTATTCTCTGTCTGGGAAAGCTGTCGATTGTGCACAGAGTGGATTATAACACTGTTATAACACTGATTCTGCTTTTATTACCAAGGAAATGTTCATGTGACATGGAGAGATCCGGATCCAGGGAATGCCTGGGACTCAATCAACACAAACTTTGGCCAGTTGAAAAGACGTAACAGTTACATGGGTGAATATGCAGTCTTGATCTAATTTCTGAGTTCTGATGACCAACACCAACTTTGTTGTGATAACTTTATATATAATTATACATTCTATTCTGGATGTGATTCTGAAGGAGCCTTGAATGACCCTTAAAACCCAACATGGCATTTCAACAGCAGCTCTTTGTTGCTCTTCACCACAGGATACTCGGTTCTGGAAGAGAAGAAGCTCCTCAGCCGTGATAGCTATACAGTAGTGACGGGGGCTCCTCGGGATGAGTCCAAGGGCTCCGTGGTGTTTGGGACAAAGTCAAACACCAACATTGAACCAGTGTTCTTAATCCCAGGGGAACAAGTGGGCTCTTACTTTGGAAGCAGCCTGGCTGTGACCGACCTCAACAATGATGAGTATGTTTCTTTAAAACCACAACATTCGGCTTTGGAAAATTAAACAGCAAACTGTTACTTCCTTTTCCCTTATGTATTACATATGGTTTTGTGTTTGGAATCAATTCACTACATCTGCAGAAAGAGGCCTACATAATGAAAACCAAGTGAAGTTGGTGAAGGGTGGTGCATTTTAGGTCTAGTGACTGAGTCCATCTTTGCACTTAAATGACACCAAGAAAATCAGAGTCTGTGTAAAGCTGGATATTAAAATACATGTACACAGGAATGTATGACTATATATATATATATATATAATTTGTGGGTATTTCTACAAAAATGTCAAACCAAGACTGGATTAGGTCAGTTGTTCACTCTTTCTTGAACACAGATATGATTACTTTTTACTGTATATCTTTAAAAAATCAGGCTTGGGAGATAGATAGATATAGTGTTGGTTTTTGCATGGAAATATATGATATCCTTATTATTTTTGATTGTCTGTGGCTGTTTCTTATTCCTCTGAGTCTCTTCCTTCTCTGCTGCTGTGATATCTAAAAGTTATGCAGGGAATGTATGGTGATGATGTATGTGTGAGGTCAGCAGAGCAGAGATTAGAGATAACCTGTGCTTTCTGGATGTGAGATAAGGTTGTATTATTTTAGTTAGTTTGAATATTTTGTTTCTTTTTTTTTCTCTTTAGCTGGAATGACCTGATTGTTGGTGCCCCCTTCTACTTTGACCGTATGAATGATCATGGTGGAGCCGTGTACATCTACATGAATGAGAATGGATCTTTCCAGGAAAGCACTACAATGGTCCTGAAGGGTCCATCCGGCTCTGGCTTCGGCATGGCAGTGGCTGCAATTGGTGATGTCAATCAAGATGGATTCCAAGGTACAGCTGTGTATTCTCTATAGGATGACCTGCTTCATAGTACAGTCAAGCAGGGACATCTTGTCAAAGTCCTCATATGAGTTTTACTGTCATGTATCAGCAGTTGAAAACACTAAGAGACAATGTTTATGTCGGACAAATTCAGTTTGTCACAAATGAAAAATTGCTCACCGTGTGCTGCTACAATGCTGCCACCTAAAGGAGTACACTGTTCATGCAGTGGTCTTACCTACAGCATGTCGTAGATGTGACCCAGAGGTGATTCGTTATGTTTAAATTTGTCTGCAGACTTTGCAGTTGGAGCTCCTTTCCACGAAACAGGAAAAGTCTACATTTGGATGGGAAGTAAAAAGGGAATCTCAGAGACTCCCAGCCAGGTAACAACCTCTGACTGAATGTCCTAGGAATGTGCTTCTAGCAGAGATTACAATTCAGTGCTAAAGGCTTCTGTGGCCCTCCTCAGGTGATCGAAGGAAAGACAGTAGGAAATGGAGGATTCCAGACCTTTGGCTACTCCATCAGTGGAGGGATGGACATGGATGAGAACAATTACCCAGATATTTTAGTTGGTTCACTGGACGATCGCATTGCTCTGCTCAGGTAGAAAACAGCTAAATGTGTTTATGTCATGTTTGGATGGTAGGGGCATATAGTTGTTTGTTTTTTTAATTCTGGGTCATTCTTTAGAATATTTAAACATATTATATGTGTAATATTTTGACTACCATTTACTCATATATATATTGGTCTTGCTTTAAGTATTTTTCAGGCTACTAAACTAGATATGGTTTTACTTTTTCTATGTAACACTGATGATATAATGTATTTTTTGGGCTACAAAGACTGAGCCATGACAATATTTATCTTTCACATAATTTAAGTAAGATGTTCCAAGATATTCTCCAAAGTAACTTCATGGTACAAATATTGGTATTTTAGCTGATCATATTCTGTTGATCATATTTGTTTTGTTCATAGAGCTCGCCCAGTCATCCATTTAACTAAGGAATTCAGAGTGGAGCCTAAGATTGTGGATCCTAACAATTGTAATGAAAATTCACCATGGTGAGGAGTCATTTTAGAAAAATTCTGACCCTCTCAGCCTTATATTTGTGACTGTCTAACATACGTATGTGCATATATCTGTCTGCCTTTTTTACAGCATCACTGCCACACTGTGTTTGTCCTTCACACTAAGCAATGGAAACAAAGACTTCAAGAAAAATATAAGTAAGGAATTGTTCTATTCTTGTGTTAATATTATTATTTTTGAACAGAACTCGGGGTAAAATACATGTGCCACACCTGCATGTGGCGCTGTAAACAGACAGAGCCACAGGACACCGGAAGAAGGCTCTAGTTCGAGATCGTGTTGTGGGTTTAAAAAGAGCGAACGTCTGTAATTTTATGTCGTGTTTTATTATAGTTGCCGGCATTGCTGTTGTTACTGCATGGAGCATGTCGGTGTTCTTCTGTCACGTGACAGGGTGGCGACGTTCTAAAAAAAAGTCGTTTGCGTGCAAGACGGAGTTGTCAGAAAGTCGTTTGCGTGACGACAGCAAGACGGAGTTGTCAGACTTTCTGGCTGCGGAACCGCTTCTCAGTCAATGTGGTTGCAGGGCACACAGAATGTCGCTGTCATGTGGATGAAAGGATGTAACGATAACAAATGTTACTGTTTCGACTTAATACCGTTCCTGTGAGCACATTGTTTCGTGTTCGTGGCTGTTAGTGTGACAACTGACGAGAAGAGTAGCGGAAAGGGGAAGATAACCAACATGACAATGTTGAGCTGTTAAAGAGAATATTGACGACTCAGAACCTGTGATGAATTAAGTTGTTGAACTTATTCCCAAGCAAAACTCATTTGTCTAAAGCCATTTTATTTAAAATAATTCTACTTCGAATACAAAAAGAAACGTGTAGTTATATTTATTATTATTTGTTATTTATCTGAGCTTGAGTACAATGAGCTGTAATTTGGTCATAACTCTCAGAACAAAGGTTCTGTTTTACTGATGTTTCCCCCCACTTTTTTAAACTATTACATAACTGTTGTCTTCACTTTTGTCACTTTGAAATTTTAAAAAGCGGTGAAGTATGTGGTGGAGGCAGACATGGCCAGGAGGAGGAGTCCCCGAGTTCGATTCCAGGACAGTTATGATGACACATTTACTGGCCTTCTTAGCCTGCCCTCGGCCAAGTCTACATGTCAAACGCTGAAGCTGTATGTAGTGGTGAGTTGTCCATCTTTTAAAGCTATACTTCTGTTGTATTCACTAAATAAATGGTTTTTAGTGACGTACCCATTTAGTAAAGCGAAGATTTCCTGGTTTAAACACAGGCACCTGTGATTGACAAACTGGAGCCCGTGGTCTTCTCCGTTAACATGTCCATACACGAACAAAAAGCTAAATCCAGACGCTCCCTCCAGAACTTGGACTTCTTTCCAATCGTGAGCCAGGAACAGAAACTCACTCAGAGGACTGAGGTATGATCAGGCACGGTTTTTCCAACTATTCTTTTCTTTCATTGTGTAACTTTTTTTTTTTTTTTTTGCATTCCTACAGATACATTTCCAGAATGAGTGTGGATCCGACAACAAATGCAGCAGTAACCTTCAGTTGAATGCTGAGTTTGTTGATGAGAAAGACGAACCTTACCCTAGGTACTGTTTTCACACTCTTGTACTAGGTACAACATCAAGGTAGAACATTTCTAATTGTGTGTCATTGCTGTTTACAGGCAGAGCAGATTTCAGATTCTTCAGTTCAACAGTAATAAGAAAACAATTAAGATGAATGTGGAGGTGACAAACTTCCCCTCCTCTGGAAAACTGGCAGAGGATGCCCATCAGGCCACACTGAACATCTCCATCCCTGATGCACTCAGATATTTTGGCTTCAGGTCATCAGGTCAGGTGCGTCCACTAGAGGGCAGGCGAACACAAAATATAAATTCATCTTTATTGTCTTTTCTTAAATCATTCAAAAAGTATATTATTATTATAGATTGCATTTTATATTTGAAACTTCTTCAACTTTTCTGTTTCCAGGACCATGGTGTTGAATGTACGTTTGAGGGTAATGTGATTTGTGATCTTGGGAATCCACTAAAAGGCAAAGAAAAGGTGGTTGTCTGAGATTCTCTCTGAGACAGTTCGGCCTCATATTTTGTTTTGACGATTTATTTTATAATGATAATATACTTTTGTTTCAGGTGTCTTTTGCTCTGATATTTGAGACAGCAGGTATTGATCTCTACACACAGGAAGTGGAGACTCTGCTGCTTCTGTCTACGTAAGTCAGTCTTTAGAGTTTTTCAAACAATTAATTTTAGGTCAGAATATCATCATTAACTATTATAATAAGGTCATCACAGGAATTATTGGAATGAAACCTGAAAAAGTTAACACTGGCTCTTAAATGACACTTTTCCAGAGCACAGTGAAATTACACAGTGATGTGAGTGCTGTTTACCCAGAAATATACAGTGAAAAGGCCTAAAAAAAGAAGAGAGATAAAGAGTAGAAATATATGCTTTACACAAATAGGACAGGGAAAATTATATATATATATATATAAAGCCTTTCTTATATATATAAGAAAGAAAAACTTTTGCTTTCTTATATATATATATATAAGAAAGCAAAAGTCTTTCTTATACATATATATTTATATATATGTATAAGAAAGCAAAAGTCTTGTGAGTTTAATGGTAAAATGAACGTAAAATATACAAATATTGACCAAAAGACAACTAATATTTTCTTGTCTGAGAATAATTCTTATAGGTTTTCTGTAAATTGCCAATAGGTAAACAGCAGATAAACTAAAATAAACTGGATATAAGACAATATCCAGAAGTCGTTCAAATACAGAAAATACCAACTTAAGAATTCCTCAATGATTATCAATCATCCTAAAACCTATTTTTTAAGAAAACTGTTTGTCTGTGCTATATGTAAATGTTATGTTCTCTGTATATCTTTGTTTATTCAGTCTGAGTGAACAGAGTGACCTGTATCCTGTGCCTGTGGCCTTGTTGATTGAAAACACCATCCTGCCCTCCTTCTCCATGTAAGTCCTATTAACCAACAACCTCTGTTGCAGTGTACAAACACAGCAGAGCTTAAGACCTAAATGTCTCCTTACACCATTTTACACACTCTTCCCCTCCCCCATCCAGAGTTAGATCTTTGGTCCAGACACAATTCGGTGGGACGGTGATGGGTATGATGGCCATGGTAAACACCAGTAACGTGGGCAGTCTGGTGGAGTTCACCTTCAGTGTGAGTCACGTCCACCACTCAGGCTATATTAGACATCCAAGACTATTCTGGGTCTACAATCAATGTCCTACTCCTCCACATACTCTTTCTGGTCTCTGCCCAGTCTTTGAAGCCAACGCTTTCCTTCTTCACAAGTTTAATATTGTGTGGATGTGTCAGACATGGTTTGTGGTAGAAGAATGACTTGTTTTTGGAATATCCAGCTCTGAACATCATCCTCTTTTAACACAGTGTTTGAATTATCCTTAGGTTAAACCGTCATTTTTCTCCTTCAGGTGAACATGCAGGGGCAGCCTCTCGGAGACTTAGGGACCCTGGCTGTGGAGTTTGAATGGCCTTTTGAGGTAGCCAATGGCAAGTGGCTCCTGTACCTGACCAAGATTGTTGTCAAAGGGGAGTCGGAGATGGAATGCAACCCTGTTGGAGAAGTTGTGAATTCGCTAAATCTCACCGTAAGGCTGTGGCTTGAATTTTGATCAAAGTCTCATTGTTAGGTTTGAAAAGTTTTTGTTTTTTTTTTTTGGTGTACAGAACTTTTCAAAATCACATATTACAGACACATCTTAAAGAATGGGTCTGTGTCCTAATGGCACAATTAATCAATGACCCTTACCTGTTCTAAGCTTGTAAGTTCAAAATCACAGTTGTCTTTGTCTTGCATTACTACCATCCACTGGCTGTATTTCCACCTACCAGGGTTTTAATCAGTTTAAAGAAAGTCATACTGCAGAGCAGCATCACAGCGAGAAACAAACTACTGTACATTCCAGTGGCCCATAAACAATAATGTAGATATAACATTTTGTGATCCTTTAATTTGACCTTAATAAGCTTTGATTGTTTGCCTTTGTTTGCGTGCAGAAGGTCAAATTTTAGATGATGTCAGCATGAGTGAAGACTTACGAGCAGCAGGAGTCAACAGTAGTGGAGAAGTAGTGTGAAAATGGTGTCAGAGCCAAACCACAACTGTACAGAAATACATTTTGGAAGGGAAAAAAAAACATTTGTGTCGCCTGACTGTAACCTCACAGCGCCACAAATAGAAGATCATAGTGTGTGTGTGGGGGCCGGGGGTGTTGCCTATAGACAGTGGAAATGACATCTCTATTCTGAGAAGAATTTGGTAATGTCTTTATCTGAACCAGTAATTACACCAGAGCCTGTGATGTCATGTCTCTGTCTTAGATTTTCTGCTTCTCTTCTTTCATTTTCTCCTTTCTTTTTTTTTCCATTCCGTCTTCTTGCCAGCTATCAGTGAATAAACCCAGACGCTCTCGACGTCAAACTGTGGTGCCGAGTGATGACACAACTCAACCACAAATCATTGAACCACAGGCTGCATTATCGCTGCTCACTCCCAGAAAAGAGACGTACCTTTTGGTAAGAAATACTGAGAAGTGCTGATGACATATTTTTGTTATTTTCTGTATTGCTCTAAATTCCGCTAAACTCCCATAAACTCACTAGACCCATCCCATAGAAATATATTTGGGAATTTGGGAAATATTTTGCAACGGTTTGTGTAGTGTATAGTGTATAGCACTACATCTGTTGCTTTGCAAGCAGATGGACCACTTAATGACAGCCCTCCCCATTTTCATTATGGATTAAAGCGTCTGCTAAATGTATAGATGTAAATGTATAACTCAGATATCCTCCTCTTCCCAAACTACACCCATTCAATTGGTTGAATTCCAGGTTTATTCCTGTATTTACATAAATTCTTGTTCATTACCACAGAAAAATTTTCAAGTTTGTAAATCACTGAAAATGTGCAACACTAATTGCCTATAAACTGTTTATGTAGCTCCTGTGTCCTAAAAATACTGTCACTGGTATTCGAAACAGAACATTTGTTTGTTCGTTTGGTTCCTAACAGTTTCTCATTATGTGTTGAAGGAATGCTCCAGAGGAACAGCAAACTGTGTGAGGTTTCGCTGCCCACTGTTGAACATGACGAACTCAGCAACGATTCACGTCCGCTCCCGGTTGTGGAACAGCACAATGCTCGAGGTTAGCTCATTAACTTACACTCAGAATCATGCTCATTCATTTTCTACTGCCTAATCCCTGTCAAAACTCTGTTAGTTAGCTTTTTTTTTGCTCAAATGCTAATGGCTCCACAGCCCACAGGAATATCACAGCATGTAGAGGAGACTGAATGCTGTCTGCTTATACCACTCGTTCCTCAGTGTAGAAAACAATGGTACATTTGTCTGTCAGTTTCCAACTGTGTTATTATGTTATTGAACTGTGTTATTGCAAGGATTTATTCAGACGATAGTTTTAAGGGATAACATAAAATATCACACTGAACGGCACAGGTTGGTTGGCTGCACCTAGAACAGTATCTGAAAGATGTGAATGCTGATTCGTGAACACAGCAATGTGTTACTTTTCTTTCATGACTTTCTTTAAAATGTGGTGCATTTGTTAGGTATCCTACATTTTGCAGTTTTGTCATCTTCAGATTGACTTTTGTAGTTGTTTGGTTGAATGAATACTTCATACTTCATGTGTGTTTGTATGCAGGACTATCCCAATGCACTGAGAGTTACTGTCAGAGGTCAGGCCACGCTGCTGCTCATCACAGATAAACCCACCATCAAAATGGAAAACCAGACTGCCTTGGTGGGTAATATGACGATGAAGGATAATGATAATTATTCATTTGATAACCCTGCCTGGCTGTCTGCGCTTTTTCCTTTTTAGTTCACAGTAGAAATAGAACCAGTTGAGGGAGTGGAAACACCCTACGAGCTCCCACTGTGGATCATCATCTCAGCTGTCGTAGCAGGAGTTTTACTGCTGGGAATCATTATCCTTATAATGTGGAAGGTGAGACAGCTAATAAAAGCTCACATTGAATTTTGTATGTGTTTTTTGGTCCTTTCAGAAAAAGTCGATACACTTGTTTATAATGAAATAAAAACTAAGATCTGATTTTTATATGAACGCACTTGTGCCAACTTCTGTGGAGACAGGCTTTGTACAAAGACACTTTGTCCATCTGCAGTCTATTTACAGCTCAGATATCTTCTCTGGGCCACATGATACCTGCCCAGCTCACTCATCTGTCATTTATGTATAGCCTACCTATTAAGCCATTGGTCTAAATTTTGACCTCCCCCTCTTCTACTCCATGTGCTCTCCACCTGCTCCTCCTCCTCCTCCTCCAGTGTGGCTTCTTCCGGAGGGCCAGCAGGAGGGAGATGTATGAGGCCAAAGCCCAGAAGGCTGAGATGAAGATCCAGCCCTCTGAGACAGAGAAGCTGACTGAGGACTACTGAGTGGGTTCCCTGAAACTGCATACACCAATGGGGATTATGGGTAAAAAAAGAAAAACTCCTTAGATGGGTTTTTATCTTCCTGATTGGGATGTGATGGTCAACCCTTCAACCACTTCTAATATTCCACTCTTGTGACTTCCAACTAACATTTCTTCTATTTCTCTTTCAGTCTTCCCTGAGACTTTTAGCTCCCTGTGTTTTTTGGGTCAAAATAGTGATGTCTAAACTTTTCAGGGGGCCAGATAAACAAATGTAAAATATCTAGTGTTTCCCTGATAATGTACATAGTGTCTGTGGTGTACCAAAGGAGATAGTGGAAACATGATCCAAACTTTAGACAAATGTTGAAAAGCTGAAAGTTGTGACAAAAATAATTTCATATATTAGAGTACAATGAAAATTGAAAAATCGTCCCAGACGTAGCTTAAAGTTAGCTAAAACTGTATAAGTTTGGCCAAAAGTTTTTAAAGCTGTCCCAAATAACCAATATAATAATAAGTAATAACTGATACCTCCTTAAAGTCTCTATAGAAATCATTTTTACCCACCAAAAAAACAAAAACATATCAGTGTACCACAACTGGCCCCCTGACCAAATTTTGGACACACCTCTTTTAGCAGGTTCTGGTTCTCTCTGTTATCTAACCATTATTTTCTCAGCTTTTAAAAACCAAAATCTCCTTCCTCAGCCGTCACACATGAACCCAGGTTCCCCTGCAGTTTAAAAGCATACTCTCTAACACCTCTCCCTCCCTTTTTCTCCTCTCTTCTCCCATCCAGCTTGGATTCTTTAAACGGTCCATTTATTACCGGATGATGCCGAAGCACCAAGGGGTGAAGATTCGCAGGGCTGAACGCTATCAGTTCAATCTGGGTTTTCAGCCCGAGGAGCCACAGAAAAAGTATTGGATCACCAACTGGACCGAGACACAGCATTTCTACTACTGAGGCCTTCAACTCTGAGTCCTGAACCCATCACCTGCAGTCACACTGTCACAGGCCAATAAGAGAGCACTGGGCTCAGTAGAGCCACATGGATGGACCATTGAAAAAAGTGAACTTTTTCAATTAATATTATTAATATTTTTATTAGAATATTTGGTGCAATATACTGAACATTTTCAGAGATTGTAATTTTGTTGATGTTTTTTAAACAAATGCTGTCTTGTACAGAGGGAATTGAGGTTGCGTTTGAGATTTGTTTGTCCTGATTTTATGAACTGAAGTTATTGGAGTTTTCTCTTTTTTTTTTTTACAACAAATTTATTCTGTCTGCCTGTTAGGGTCCCCACACTGGTCATCATGAATGACCAGTGTGGGTACACACCGGTCATCGTGACCTTTTTTTTTTCAACTGCTCTTACTACACAGAGGTCATAATCTGTTGTGGTATGTGTGAAAATGTGAAAATGTGGTTGTGAATGTTCACAGCTGTGTTTGACAGACTACATTACAGGGGAATCACTGTTTGTATTTAATCCACCTGTAAAACACAACAAGCACAAAACTGGAGTTGAAATAGTTCCTTCCTGGTATTTCATTGGCTGACCATTTCTAGGGATTCCTGAAAAGAAAAAAAGGAAGACACAACGCATCAGACACACAAGAGTTAAAGTGTCTGCTCAGCACAACACGGCCCTGCTAGTGCTGGGTTTCAAACCTGGCAGTTCACCAATTACGAGCCTGACCTTTCATGGCCTGTCCAATGAAAAAACTGGGTTAAGAAAAGTGGGAGAAGAAAGTTACCTATATCTGATAAACAAACACCCACAAGAACCTCTTCTAAGGCTATATTTTAGTTGTTTTTTTTTATGCAACAATATATTTACCTTCAAACAACAAACCTATTGGAAGCCTTGGACATTTGTACTGTCCTTTGACATATCCCTGGTTTCAAGGATAGACTACAAAGTACAAAAATGCAGTACAATTGGGCAATGGGCTTTTTTATTTCCCAGCTGGACATGTTTTATTTGTCCTCATTAAATTTTCCCCTGCAACAATTTGACCAACAATAGAATTCTGTTTGTATATTAAATGATTCTATAGCGCAGTTTGTAAAAACATGCTGTTTCTTTCGTTTCACACTAAAAATATGTATCTACCTGGATTATGTTAAATGTATCACATTCAGGGAGTCACAACACTGGATGTCCAAAGACTTGATATTGTAAGCTTCTGTGTATTCTCACCGTGCATTATGGATGAATTAATGTTGAATTTTGATGTTGGATGTTTGATGTTGTTCTGTCCCTAAGCTGCGACAGTACAGACACTTGGATTATTTCAGAGCCGTCATGGCTGATCAGCAGCACTGATGACAAACTGGATAGAGAAAAGCCAGTGAACCATCTCTGAAGTGTTGCATTACCCTTCGTGCCCATGCTACCTGAGAGCCAACACTTCCCCCGTTGTTGACTGTGCCTTCACTGAGGCTCCATTGACTCTGTGAGTAAGGAAGGGAGGGGCTGAAACCTCTGCACCGACTCTGTTCACTGTGGTGATGTTGAGGCTATTTTGTAAAATGTGCAGTTTTGATGTCATTAAATTGTTTTCACATGCTCGAGTTCAGTTCTTACCAGTAGATGATGTGTTCTACATCACTGGCCACTTCACTGGGTGTATCTTGGTATTGTTCACACATGGTGCCAGTTTTTAGTGGGTAACTAGAAGTGTGAGGTGGTGGTTTCTCACGCAACAAAAATACTTTCTGTGGTTGTTTTCTTTTATTACCTTTCTGGGGGTTTTTCCAGGACAAAATTTGTGCTATTAAAGAAATTCCCCTCTGTCTTTAACCCCCTTCAATAACACAGCACAAACTGGAGCAGGTAAATAACATTAGGAACAAACAAACAACATTATATGTATCCAATTTAGCTGTAATAGGTACCTGGATTTGATTAAATAAGCAAGTAAATAAAATGTAGGTTGAATAAACAAATACGATTGTATTTAAAGCCATCAAGAGCATGCCAAGAAGTAGCTAATATTAAGCTAGGAACTAAGTCGCCTAAGAAAAATTTGCAATTTAAAGCATTTTGCAAGGTGACCATGACTATATACAATACAATAAACTTCAGCATGTATAGCAACACAGACTGAAAATGTATTTCCATTTTTTTATTGTAGAAATGTTTGGGGTTTAAAAAAAAAAGAAAAAATCCAAAATGCTTATACAATGAGCAAGTTTACATTCATTTTAAAACTGTGTTTCTCTGGAAATATTACAAATAAATTACAAAATAGTAATGTTCTCTCTTGCATAGGCACAACGAAACGTGTTGACTAAGGTGTACAACATATATACAAACTAGAGAGAGGGGGGAAAGAAAAATCAGACTTGATCAGGAGTGTTTTACAGCACACAAACGCTGATGTTCACATCGAGGCTGGTACTGTGGTAGTTACAGTGAGTCCGACTTTGCATTTTTCTCTTTGTCTTGACGTGATTTTACTTGAGCTCCATGGAGGACAAGCTCTTCCTGGACTTTTTTGCTTTCTTGTACTTGTAGGCAACCAGGATGGTGGCGACCAGAAGAACCAGGCCAAGCACTAGAAGGATCCACTGTCCAGCTACAGCAGCTGCTTTATCCACACTCATACCCAGGAAGTCCACTTTATTGGATTCAACCACTTTTTCCTGTTCACCTAAAATTACAAAGCAAATACACTGTAAGGATTTTATTTTTACACTTTGATGGAATTTTTGTCATTCATGGGCACCACCATTTTGCATCAAGCGCAGAATAATTCTGAGGAAGAATGTTCATCGGTAGTAAATTAGCCAGTAGGTGACAGTAATGCAAAGTAAAGAAAACAAATATCCATGAAAAACCAGTAAAGTAATATCTTTTAACTGACCAAAGTTAAAACAAAATTCAGAAAATTCAGGTTCAAGTCCACCAGCTGACAAGTCACCACTGAGGTTCTCTGATCATGGCACCGTCCCCACTCTCTGCTCCCCCTTAAAGCTGCCCACTGTTCACTTTGGTGATGGGTTAAAAGCAGAGGTCACATCTGGTTGTGTGCAGTGGTGAGCTCTATCACAGTGACAAGGAGTTCACTTTCCTACTTTCTTTTAAAGTCGTTGCAAACAAAATTGAAGTTCAAGTCATTTAGAAAAAGATGCATTAAATCGACATTTCTAAAAAATAAAGTAAAAATTAATACAATTTTGTCAAGGAATAGGTTACAAAGATAATGTACTTGCTAGCCAATAAAATAGCTAAAACTAGAAAAGAAGTTCGACTGTAGCTAAAGGTAGCTACAAACAGCAGAAATTATCAAATGATTTTAAAATGCCGTAATATTTTAAAAAAACATGTTATTATCATTTGTTCTTCTGTCTAACAGAGGTCATTTATAAACTGGTTACTATGTTCTTGAGGACTTTGAGGTGCACAACAACAGCTTGAATCCAAACGTCTGCAGCTGCACAGGCTCCTTCTATCACACTGCTGCTGCTTTTATCAAAATAATCCCAAACGATATTAAAGATGGTGTGGTCTGGAAAGACAAGCAAAGAGAGAACAAACTCTAAACAATCCACCTTTTGCCTCCTTTAGAGATAACAGGGTGTGGAGTCAGTCATGTTCAACAACAGCCGTGCGTCTCCTCCTGTTCTCACTATCTTTAACTGAGAAGGTCATTAATATTATCTTTTCACCTCTTTCACCAGGATCTCATCAGTAAAGCCAGACCAGCCGGAGATCGATTTCACCGTGTAATGTTAAGAGGAGGAAAATCCCCCACCCAAAAAAAAAACAAAGAAAAGAAAAGAAAAATGAGTGCCACTGTGAGGGGCTTTTGTGCATTTCATCCTGGGATAGAGTTCAAACCCCATTTGGCTTGAAGGTTGGAGAGGTAATTAAAACTCAAACCTGCAGCTTCTTTTCTACGTGTGAGTGTGAATGTATAAAAAGTATGACGACATACTCCCAGGTCTCCAGTCGTAGTCAGGCCACCCACGAACATCTCTGTTCTTGTTATTCTCTAACTCCAGCCACTGGATGAGGGGTTGGAAGTACTCCATGAGAGGCTGGGCTGTCATTTTGGGCTGGCCCGTGATCATGGTCATGGCCTCAGGCCAGGGTTTACTGAAGCCCTGCTTCATCACGTCACTGCAGACACAACGACAGCAGCTCAGTGAAAGAGAGAATCAGTGTTTGCTGGAGATAATTACACACTTGTGCCACTGCCTGCACGTAGACACGTAGTGTTATAAGTAGTCATCACCTACAACATAATTATTATAGATTTTGTTTTACAGTTAAGAATTTTTATAATACATACTTCAGGGAACAGAAAATTAAAGTATCAACTTTAATTCCTTTCTTTAACTGAATTCATCACAAAATGTTCACCTTGGTCTCACAAAAAAAAAATCTGATCTCTGAATTCTAGATTCTGAACTTAAGACCATTTCTAACAGTTCAACTGCATGGCTCTAATCCTAATCTACATTTTGGATGAAGGATTAGATATACAGAACAACGCTGATGGATTGAGTGTGTACTGACCCCAGTAGCTTCCCAGCTTCTTTAGACTTGTAGATGTCACATGTATGGAGAGGACCCTCATGTTTGGCAGCCTCACACAGAGCTTTGTGGAACTGGAACTGGATGATGAAGCTGACAAAGTACCTGCAGGAAGAGCAACAACTTCAGGTTATTGTATTAATGTGACTGTAGGCAGGTTTGACTGTAGTCTTATCTGTTTGTGATTTAGTAGGCATTATTAAAGCAGCTATCACTCCTTCAATTATCTATATTGGATCAGCAGAATCTACCTGACATAAGGCACATTAGCAGGGATGTGGAACTTTGCCCCGGGGTCAAAGTCGTCCTCAGTGCGGACTGTAGGAGGACACAGTCCCTGGTACTTCATCCTGTTGGGCAGAGATGCTAATCTGGTTAATTAAAGTCAATCATTGACTAATGGAACTGTTTATCAAGCAATCAACAGTCATCTTTACATTTTTTACATGTAATAAACCTTCTTGTATCAGCAGCCCGTGAACTCTACCTGAGGTTCCACCACTCCTTGTTGTACTCTGACGAGGGTATGCGTCCATCGAACACTTTCCATCTCCACTGGTCCATCAGGAACCCGAAAGGTAGGAATGCAATCTTGTCCAGAGCCATGCTCATCAGGAAGTTGATGTCGCTCTCTAAAGTAAATTTTGTTCACAGAGCAGACAATTAGACCAGACCTTTTGCTACTGCTCAAAATGTCACTATTGGTTCTAAACAACATCAACTAGGTAATTATAAAAGAGCCAACTTTTAAGTGAGAACAAAAAAGTCAGTTCCACCCACCGTGGTTGCTCTCCACTTTGTCCAGGAGACCAATGCTGTGCAGATGTTTGGGTGTTGACACTGACAGTGCCAGTACATCGCCAATGGCCTCATGGAACCCAGGATTGGCCCCGTCACGGAACGACACGGGCTGCTCTTTGTACTGCAAGAAGTACTGGACGTGGCCCATCTCATGGTGCACGGTGATCAGGTCGTCCATGGTGATCACTGTGCACTGTTTGATCCTGGAGACACAGGTGAGATAAAACAAAACAAAAAACTAAAATTCTACATCCTGCCAGATTTCATATGTGTACTGCTGCTACAGGTGACATGGATTGTGCTAATTCATAATTTGGTATTTTTTCCATTTTGGGCTACTTTTTATTTGGAATTAGCCCTTTTTCATCTCGACTTCAAATATCTACCGTAATTTCCGCACTATAAGGCACACTTAAAAACCTGTAATTTTCTCAAAAATCGACCGTGCGCCTTATAACCCGGTGCGCCTTATGTATTACTTCTGGTTGCGAGCCAACAATGACGTTTAACTCTGTTATCACAATTAGAAGATGCTCACCAACAAGTATTACAGTACGGTTGGGTAACCCAAATCCGTGCAACGTCGCTTCGTGCTTCCAAACACCCAAAGACTCTGAGTTGTGTTTTTGTATTGTCGATGTATGGTGCGATGCAGGAACTCTTTTTATTTCTCCTTTTTTTTTTTAATCGATACAGGAAAAACACACACTCTCTGCAAAACAACATCCGCACGGAACAGAGTCAAACCATCCAGAACAAAATAGTGACAACCGATTGACTCTGGAGGGGCCAACAACAGCGTCCTCCAGTGTCCAACTTAGGTCACTACCTTTTCCACAAATCTGCGTCCCTATTGATCTGCGACTCCATGCACGTCCATCTCACCGATATTGTCAAAACTCAAGTGAATCGATCTAATTCGGGGCTTGCCATCATTCCGGGTGGATTAACCACAGAATTCCAATCGCTAAATATTTGTGTTAACAGGGGCGTTTAAAGTTAAATTGCGAGCCGCGTGGGAGTATCGGATGACTGAAGGCGAACACATATTCACCAGGCCACGAGGCAACGCCGGACGGGTTACGCCACTATCAGCCAGTGGATCGTGGAAGCCTGGGCAAAGGTATCAGTCTCAAATGTTTCACGAAAGCCGGAATCATCACTGAACAGCTAATTAACAGCAACGAGACTGACTCGGATGCAGACTCGGACATGCTTGATTGTTCCGCTTAATTATTTCGCTGACTGTTTTGCTTCGCTTAATGCGCCTTATAACCTGGTGCTCCTTTTTTATGAATATATTCCCGTTCATGATATTGCGCCTTATAGTCCGAAAAATACGGTAATTAAAAGTGTTTAATTAGATAACTTTAGCTACTGTAACTTCCGGACTATTGAGCACACCTGAAGCCGCACCCACTAAATTTAAAAAGAAAAAAATAATTGTAATATATAGGCTGTACTTTTCTATAAGCTGCAGGTGTCCACGTTATAACATGGGATATTTACACACAAATATATATATATTTTTAGCCCCGACCGTAGTTGGAATGGACAGGGGAGACTTAATGATCTGCTCCAGGTCCAAAGCTAACATTAGCTCCGGGGCCAACTCCCTTCACTCTGTGCTCGTCCGTAGCAGAGGTAAACAGAAACAGGGAAGTTGGGGTCTTTATTATCTGCCACACCGAGCACAACAGAACATAAACAGCGTTTTAACAGCTCCTGTATAACCGACTCACGCTTCAACATGACAAGGCGACAACTGCTCTCACCTATCACGACCGTTCTCTCTCGAGCGCCCCACGCACATGTAAGCACCACCCATTCACAGGCAGACATACGCTACTAGTGTAACACACTGTAGCCTACCAAGTCATTGATCGCTAGCGGTATGAACTTCATTAACCCGTAAAAATTCATGAATTAGCTGCATCATTGTTTAAGCCGCAGGGTTCAAAGCGTGTGAAAAAACTTAGCAGCTTATAGACCTGAAATTACGGTATTTATGCTTTTAGGTGCTGAGTAATTCTGTTCTATTTGATATACAATGAAACAAAAACCTGTGGACTGACCTGAAGTCTTTCCTGTTGTAGAAGTCCCAGGCAGAGGCATGACACACAACCTTACGCCCATCCTCAGGCTTTTCCAGCATGGATTTATCCCAGAATTCTTGAGGCATTGGCAGCAAACCAAGAGAAGTAAAGAACCGGTCTGACTCATTGAACATTTTCACAGCATTCCACCCCTGGAAATAAGAAGGAATTCAGGTAAATCCATAAAAAACACAAACACACACACACACAAACACACACACACATAAAAAAAAGAAGCAACCGAGTTAGTTGTTAGGTGTACCTGGGCTACCATTGCTGGTGTTGCATCAACCTGTGTGGCGTCTGGGTAAGGCATGACCAGATCCATGATTCCGGACCATGTCTGGGCCCACATGTTGCCTGAATAGACACACATCTGGTCAATTCCTTTGTTTCTAAGATCTAGAAGTTTAAATACAGACTTTCTGCATGTTTTTATTTCACACACCAAGCAGATGAGCAGGAATCGGTCCCTTCAGGTTGACATACTTGGCACCGTACTTTTTGTACAAAGCTCTACGGACATAAGCGTGGACGTTCTGGTAGAGTGGCTCCAGCTCCAACCACAGAGTCTCCAGGTCTTGCTCAAAGGTTGGGGATTCATACAAGGAACGCCAGAAAGCTCCGTTATCAGGGTGACCTACAGAAAGACACAGGTGAGACTCTCTTTTTTTTCTTAAGCACAAAACATTTTTATGGCCTGATCTCTGATCAGAGATCAGATGTATTTCTTAAAAGGGTTTTTACATATAAGTGAACTCATGAGGGATTAATAAAGTTCTATCTATCCATCCATCTATCTATCTACTGTATGTTATTAAGCTTCTTTTGGCTAATTTTAGCTTTAGCTGCTAAATTCTAGCTATCTTTTAGTCACCTATTTCCTGTTTATAATTAGCAGTGGATGTGTGTTTTGTAAATGTGCTTATTCGGGTCAAGTTATGCTGTTGTTTTGGCTAAAATCTGGTTTCTATGTTTATATTTACTTTTATTATTTGGCTAATTTGTCCTTTCTCATGTCGTGTGTATGAAAACTACATTTTTGCTTTATTTACTCACAACACTTTTGGCTAATGCCCTTCATCTACTTGTAGCTATATGTTTGGTTTACAATACCTAAAATGATATATTCAGTCATTTTGTGGATTTAATCCCGTACCGTTGAGTTTGGCAGCTTTATTGGCCAGTTCCACATATCTCTTATAATCCTGACGAAGGACTTTCCCAGCAGCGTCTCTCCATCCTTTCCAGGCAAATAACAGCTCGTCATAATCTCTGGACTCCGCCATGATCTTCTGTAGGTCTGGAACACAGCACACTCATCTTAGCCATTGCTCTGCAATTATTGTTTCCTTCTTCAATGGTTTTATTAGGAAAGAAAAATCAACTGTTATAGATTGTAGTTTTAAAGGGGCCTGAAAATGTGAATTCTAATTTCTTTTAGGGATACTAAATCTGATTTAATGTTCAATTTGTCACGTGTTTCCTGGTTCCTACCTGGATCCAGTGGGTGACAGGTGCCGTTGGCTCTGCAGACCTCAGCCACACTGTACTTGGTCTCCATGTCAGACAGGAGAGTATTGTACTGGACAAGTAAAATCATTACACCCAGTGTTACTGAATGGTATAAACTGCTAGAGTATTGTTGTACAGCAAATTAATTAGTATTTTAAATGTAATATTTGAAGCAGATATCTACCAATAATAGCTTTTTATCTGAGGTTTTATAGCAAACGCAGGAAAAAATACTTAAAAGTTGCTAAAATGTTGGCTTACAAACTGGCTTTAAGAAACTGAAAGTTTTGTACACAGTTAATGAAATAAAAAAGCCCCCGAAGTGAACACCAAATATAGGCCAATAACTATAGTCATAAACTAAGAGAAAAATGCTTAAAATGATTCTACTTGGAGAAGTAAACTACTGTCGATGTGAGCCAAGAAGACAAACAAAACGTCTTAAAATAAAAAATGTAAGTGAGCAAACATGTAAAGGTTTTACCTAAAGACCTGCAGTACTGTAAACAAATGTAATTTGTTTCGTAATAATCCTAAAACGCTTAAAAAATGATCAAACTAAATGTTTGGCTCTTACATCTTCCAGCTCAGCAGGGCTCAGTGCTGCTCGTTCAATATCACTCAGTTTCTCTATAATTCGTTTTACTGAGGGGTCCTGGAAGTCAGTGGTGTCGAACTGGCGAGCCTTCAGTCCATACGTCAGAGTGTGGTTTGCCATGGCCAGGTTCTTGTCCAGCTAAGGAGGAATAATGAGAAAAACTCCTTCAGGTTTACTGTGAGATGGTTTAAAAAGTTGTTGGCTTTATGAACATGTGCCCTCCCACCCCACCCCAGCCCCGCTTCCCAGATGTTTGTTGTCAGTGTGGACTCACCATGGCTTGTTTGTTGGCCTCATTGATATCAGTGTTGTATTTCCAGGAGGCTTCAGTGTAAGCATTCCACACCACCTCTGCTGTGCTGTTGTACTCAGCCAGGAACCTCTTAGCATCCAACTCATCGGTAATCTTATCTGTGAAAATACAAAAATGCACACACATTTCACACGTGTTAGCTACTACATGCGTATTTAATGGAATATTTCTGGACTTTGAGTAAAAAAAATTATATTTTGTCCCTATATATATATATATATATATATTTACTTTATGGCTAAGTGAATAAAGGACAAATCTATTTTTGACTACACTACCTTTTTTTAACCAAGCTTTTGACTAAGCATTTTTAGCATTTTTTTTTTCTATAGAGAAAACATTTGATTTCATCAAAACTTTAGATGAACTGAAACTTCATGAAACTTCAATCTCTCTTTCTCATGACGATTTTTAGCCATGTGTTATTTTCCTTTAGTTATCTTTAGGCTCACCGTTGCTGTTTTTAAAAATCTATATGTTCCACAGTCATTTGAATAAAACCTTTATCATCTTACCAATATCTTCAGGGTAGCCCTCTGGAATGGGTGGAACCCAGTTAAAGTCAGGCCAACCTAGGGTTTCGTCTTTATTCTGCTCCTCCAACCATGTAATAACAGGCTCAAAATACTTCATCAGGGAGGTGGCGTCCATCTTGTTGGTTCCTATAGCCTCCTGCAGAACCTCAGGCCAAGGTTTAGAGGAACCTGCTACAAGTACCTTCCTGTAGCAGTAACACATTCTTACTGTAAATAAATCTGTAACTGTGGAGGATTCATGACGCAAGGTGAGATTACATACTTTAGAATGGCTCCAGCCTCTTTGGACTTGTAGATGTCACATGTATGCAGAGGACCTGTGTGTTTGGCAGCCTTACACAGTTTTTCATGAAACTGGAACTGAAGGATGAAGCTGACGAAATATCTGCAAGATCAAACAATAGCTTAGCTCCCTTAGCACAGAGAAAACAAAACAATAAATCAATGATTTCAAAATCATCTGGGGACTAACTTTAAGCAGTTGCCATCTTTTATGTTTTTTTTTTGTTTTTTTTTAATTTGGCTAACTTTTAAAAGTTTTATAGCCTTACTTCTTTCTTGGGCTAAGTTTTATTATGATTTTCTACTAAATGTGCTAATTCCAAATATTAAGCTATTGGCAGTTTTAAGGGCTCTTTTGGCCTACTTGATTAACTTTTGTTTATTTGTTTGCTAATTTCTCAGCTCTTTGGCTAACATCTATCCATTTATGATTCTATTTCAGGTATTATATGGCTAATTTAATAATTTCAATAAATGGAAGTGCTTTTTCTGTCTCCTAACTATTTTGTAAAAAAGAAAATACTAATGTTGGCAGAGCATTGTTCATTCCTAACTAAACAGAACCATATGTTAGACAAATAAAATATGTTGAAATGCTTTACCCATGTTGGACTTTAAATTAAAGCCACAGCAAAGCCAAGGCACTATCACATTACAGACTGTGGCAAAAAGTCTTTGGTCAGTTCAGCTTTACATCACAACAACATGTTAGATTCTTCAGCCAGATGTTGGGAGTTCACACACAGTGTTGTACTTTACATACAATTCAGTGTGTGATTTTAGTGTATGCTGTACACGGGAGTGTGTTGCAAGGACGCTGTTGTGTTTGGATGCTACCTGATGTAAGGCGTGTTTCCAGGGATGTGGTATTTGGCCCCAGGATCAAAGTGCTCCTCAGTACGTGCAGTGGGGGGGCAGATTCCCTGATACTTGGTCCTTCAGAAACACAAATCAGAACCAGATGATCACACTGTCTGTTTACACACACTGAGGAAACATGTTAGCTAGCCCGTAAAGATTGTTTTTGAGGGTTATGTCTGAGTGTGGGACTGAGAGTTCTCAACACCAATCTTCATACATGTCAGCCAGTTAAATCACACTTTTGGCTGTTTTTTCTCCCATCATTAGTAGTTAAGGTCACACACTCCTAAATGTTTCAGTGTTCAGTGTACTGACCCACTAGTGGGCCTCGCTATTAGCTATTTACGGCTGATGTTCAAGTTAGTTTTTTGGTGTTAACTATCTGGTTAAGCTAATCAGATGTTGTTAAATTATATGGGTTAGGTTCAGTATTTTAAGAATTTATTTTCTAGATTTTCTTTTTCTATCCTTTAGCTACTGGTCTGTCTTTTAGTTGCTTAGAGTTTAGTGAGACCTAAACTTCAAGTTTTCTTACAGTAAATTAATAGATGTTTGTTTTTTTAAGGTCATACCTGAGGTACCACCATTCTGAGTTGTATTTCTCTGGAGGAGTTTGTCCACTGAACACACCCCACCTCCACTGGTCAATGAGGTAACCAAAAGGAAGGAAGGCGATCTTCTCCAAAGCCATCTTTAACAGGTAGTTCAGGTCAGTTTCTGAAAGTGAACAGTGTATTTATTTATTTATTTTTTCAAAGAATTTCACATCAGATAATGACTTGTGCAGTTTAAAGAAAAATCCTTTCAATGCTATTACCATTATTGGAAGAGGGATCATCTAGCAGGTTGATGGTGTGAAGGTGTTTGGGTGTAGAAACTGACAAAGACAACACGTCTCCAATCGCCTCATGAAAACCAGGGTTGGCTCCACGACGGTAGCCCACAGGCTGATCTTTGTACTGCAGGTAATACTGGATGTGACCCATCTCATGGTGCACAGTGAAGAGCTGCTCCATGGTCACTGTGGTGCACTGCTTGATTCTAAATGGGAATAAAGGGGAAACTCATGGTTGGAATGCTGGGGAAAAATTCCAACTTTAGATCAGGTATCACTAGTGTCCATCCTGATGACCATCTGACCATCATGTGGGGCCAAAACTTACTTTTAATGGTAACCATTAGAATTTTTGTTAGCAAGACTACTACTACTACTGTATTAATAGTAGCAGAATTACAGTAGCAGTAGCAACAGTAGTGGTTATTTATTACTTAATAATGTCATTTTCTAATTGTATCTTGGCTTTGAGGAACAACATTTAGTTAACCTCCTAGGCTAACTTTGATAAATGTTTGCTAACTCGATTGTTAACTCAAAAGATAACCAGCACTATATTTCCCGCTTTGTTGCTAAAATTTTAATCTTGATCGTTTTTGACACATAAATTAATGTGTAATTGTATTTTTGTTTGATTTCTGTTGATATTTTTATTCAGTCCTCATGTCATTGGTAGTGAATAGTAAAGATATCTTGATACGTTTAGGCTCTTTACAGCCAATCTTTTACTTTTTCATTTTTTTCATTTTGTTTTCTTTTTTTTACATCTTATGTGACAGATTTTTTAATTATATTTTATTTATATTTTTATTTGTTTTCATTAGCTGTCATAACCAATCATAGTGGCTAACATTCTGCCTTTTTAGTGTCACCCTTTTAAAATAGCAAATACTTTTCTATTCTAGCTCCCCAAGATACAATAAACTATTCCTATTAACTATTCCATATTTCAATTTTCTATAAACAAAGTTGTGACAGGTTCCAAAATGTATCGTTTTGTTTTTTCTTTTTTTGGCTTTTTACATTTTACCTGAAGTCTTTGCGGTTGTAAAAGTCCCAGGCAGACGCGTGACACACCACCTCTCGACCTTCAGGCTTCTCCAACATGGACTCATCCCAGAATTCCTGAGGCATTGGGTCCAATCCCAGAGAGGTGAAGAACTCCTCAGCCACACGGAACATGTGTGTAGCATTGTAACCCTGTCACAAAGAAAAATATCACGTATAACATCACCAAATCCCTCCGTCGCGGTAGAGGAATCCTATCAACACACTCGCCTGGTTGACCATCTCCTCAGTCACATCCAGGTTGGGTTTCTCTGGAAATGGAATCATCAAACCATAAATGTTGTTCCAGGTCTGGGCCCACATGTTTCCTGAAGGAGGGGAAATACCACACTGTCAAAAGAACTACATTATGTTTTTTAAAAGAGTGGGAAGTAGCTTTATTTATAGTTAAATATACAAACATAGTTTTATGTTATTTTACTGTAACAGTAATATGTTTTTAATGTCTCTTTTAATGTTTGAGAAATTATCTTACAAAGTTTTTGCTGACCTTTAGCTGTTGTCATAGTTTAATCCTAAACTATGAAGCTTTTACTAGGTTTTTTGTCTGGGTTGACTTAGTCATTTAGCTGTTGACCATCTTTAATCATTTTTAATCTAATTCAGTGTGGTTTAACTATGGTTCGCAAGGCTTTTTTTTACTTGATGTTATCATTTAGGCATTTCTAGACCTTCCCTCTTATCAGGGTCTGACCAGTGACTACTTATCACTGACTCAGTGTATTGAACAATATGGAAGTACCTAACAGGTGAGCAGGAATTGGTCCTTTTAGGTTGATGTACTTGGGACCATATTGGTTGTAGAGCTGCCGCCGAACAAAGGCATGTAGGTTTTTGTACAGTGGCTCAATGGTCCTGTAAAGTTCTTCCAAGTCCTTTTCAAAAGTCTCAGTCTCGTACCACGATCTCCAGTCTGCACCTGTATCTGAAAATCCTGAAATAAGGAAATGTCAATATTAGTATGACTCATGTCATTATCCATATTGCAGTCAATCCAAATCTCATCTCTACTAGAGACTGGCACTCATTACTTAAAAACAGGGGGACTCGAACACAAAGCCCTGTTGATGCAAACCACTTAAATTTATTTGTCTGACTTGCAGTCTGACTTAATGTACTTGGTGCTTGACTCAGTCTTTCCTACCTCTGACCTGGACTCAAATCAGACTTAATTCACAGCCTAAGGACTGAACTTGACTCAAACATTCCTCAAAGACTTGGATTTGGACTTACAAACAAGCTCAAAACTGCTTGCCAAATAAGACAAAAGTATGACTTGCAACTTAATGACTGTAAAAGACTTTTGACAACTTGAAATTGGCTATGGCTTCATCATGCAAAGTATGAAAATAAAATGTTGTTTCTTAAAAGTGACTTCAACCGTCAGTGTTAGCAAACTGTTTCTAATAGCTGCACTAAAGATCATGTCTGTCCAATCCAAAAAAGTCTGATGTTAATACTCTTACAGAATAAATGGTGTTTCCAATGTTCTTACCATCAGCTTGTGAAGCATTGTTGCTGAGCTCCACAAATCTGGGGTAGTACTCCTTCAGAGGGACCCCTGATGCATTGTGCCAGCCCTCCCAGGCAAACAGCAGCCTCTTGTAGCTCCTAGAGTTGGCCATGATGTCTGTGAGTTCTGTGGAGAATGGGGAAATATCTCAAGAGGTTACGTTATTTGTAATTAGTGTTTTCTGTCAAGTAATGGAATGGGAAATCTGCTTTATCTGCACACATTATCTTTAGGAAAATCAGATGTGATTTATGGAGACTTAAAGGTATTTCCAGGCTTGGGGCAAAACACAATTTGTCTTAAATTTTGAAAAAGGAAGAAGTGGGAAATTGAGGTGAAGCGAGGTGAAGAGAAAGTTTGTTATTGTAATAATGACGGTAATAAAAAAAATCACCCAGAACTTGGCTTTTGACCTGGCAATCCACTGATACAAAATGTGCAAATGTTTTTGTATTCTTCTGTGCTATCTTTGCTATCCTTTAGCAATGTTATGTAAATTTAACTCAACTCAGCTCATTTGCATTCTTCTTTTAAAGTGGTTGCATTTTAGCATTAATAATTTTTTGTAAACTTTGCAAATAATTTCTGACGATTTAATTAGTCGAGAATTATTTTATTATTTTCTATATATAAACTGCTCGGCTTACATTTGGTCATTTTCTTTTTTTTTTTTTTTTTTTTTTTTTTTTTTGTAGCTTGTTGCTCATTTTCTAACTCCACATTGTACCAGTTATAGATTGTTTGTTTTTTCCAGGAAAATTACATCCAGTGGAATTAGGAGGTTTGAGTGCACTTGTCATAGTGTCTGAGTTGCTGATCATTTCACACATCCATTATCGTACACAATGCAAATGTATAAGTTCACATCTACTAAACTTCCTTTGGAGACTTTCCTGAAGTCATTTTGTCCATCCTGTTACTCTTCCTGCGCCTGATAACATCATGACCACTTTCAACTGTTTTTCTTCCTCCACCTCCCATTTCTCCACTGTTATTCCAGTGCTGTTCCTTCTAGAGAACACACACACAAATCTGTAACATTTTCACCCTCAATGCAAACATGCTTTTCTGTCTTTTGTACTCACCAGGTTCTAGGCTCCAGCTGACATTTGGGGATGGATGCACCTTTGCTGTTGAATAGATACTGTCCATGGTGCTGAGGATGGTGTTGTACTGCAGACAAGAAGAAGAGATTTGAAGGTAAAGAAAAAAACATGGCTGCTGAATGTCTTCTTCTTACAAACATCTCTGATTCATCTTTTTCCACAAACATTTAGAAAAATACTTTTATGATGGGTTTTGCATTTAAGGGAGGAGATGTATATAACACATTCTTACCTCTTTCCTTTCGTCTGGGCCAAGGTTGGCGGCTCCCAGTACCTTGATTTTTTCCATCAGTTTCTTTTTATCAGGTAAAAGTGAGTTGAGCGTTTCGTCTGTAAAAGTGACTTTGGCCTTTTTACCCCAGGCTTCAGAGAATTCCTGTTCTTCAAGAGATGCAATTACCTAAAAATAATTAAAAGAAGAAACGTTAGTGAGTTTTGTACGTCTCTAGGTAGAGCTACACAGAATGAGCAGCGTTCATGAAAATGACTCAATTTCTTTGTGGGCAATTGGCTAGCTCAGATTAATAGAAATAGTTTAAATCTGCCTTTGCTGTCCTAGTAAAAATAGTTCTGCAGTACAGTTACTGTTTGAGTAACTCTGGGGTAGTCACAACCGGGAAGATACAAACTACAACATGCTAATAATAACTTTAGACCTAAAACCTATAGCTGATTAGCTGGTATTGAAAACCTAAAAAGCTGAAAAAACCTATAGCTGATTAGCTGGTATTGAATGTTTGCAGTGTAATTTGATAGTTGTCACATTTGCTGCTCTTCTGGACAAACACCTACCACTGGGCCACCTTGCCTCCCACCTGATATCATCAATAATTAGTCACAGTTCTGCATAGAAACCTTGTATTTTAGATTACAAATGACTCAAAGTTTGTTAAGACATACGGTAGCTTAAAGTTAGGAAAGATAGCAGCTTAAAGAAGGCTGTAACTAAGTAGGAAAAACATTACATTGTTTAACCACCACAACATGACTTCACTTGTTGTGCTGTTCACACACCTCTCTGAGATTGACTGAATGCTCTTTCTGTCTGTTAGATGCAAGGACAGAACAGACAAGTGTAGGCTTTAGAGGACTAATAAACAGTACTAGCTGAGACAGGCCCGTTTGGCTTTTTAATCCAGCCCGCCAAACTTGTCCAAATTATGGTATTAATTTAGATTATTGTTATTATACTTCTGCCTTTTCCCCGCATTGTCCGCGTTTCACCGATAGATGGCGTAGAACATGCTAAAAGCATATTAGCCTTTATGCATGACTTTTACATGTAATTTATCTTAGTTTACATGAAGTTGGCATCTATCCGCTCCTGAGCTGGCCCCCGTATCAAATTCTAGGATACACTGAGGCCGGCGAGTCAAAAGGTTTGTCCACACCTGGGCTAAGAGTATGTGTTCGTCACTCACATGAGGACATGTTTATTTGTCGTCTAAATGACCCTCTGGAGCTTTTCTTTATGACGTGAATGTAGAAGGTCATAGCAGGATTTATGTGCGTTTTCTCGGTTTAATATTGTCAGTGCTGAAGGCTGAATGGATGGAGTCAGGGCTCAAGGCTGCAGTAAAGGTGGATTGGCTGAATAATGTGCTCTGCTGCATTGGTGCAACAGTAACCAGTCCTTCAGTCTGTAGTTTTACAACTCAACTTTTATGGTATTATTGAGTGTTGCAATCATGTGTCATGTTAAAAGTAGGAAGTGCTGGGCAAGCGTGACACTTAGTCACATATAAAAATGAAATCATGCAGACTGATGAGTAGGTTCCCACAGCTTTTCTACACACAAACACACACACTGCTCTTTGTGTTTTGTTAGTAGCATTCCCTAGCCCTCTTGCCATTATCCTAACTTTTATAACTATAAAATGTTCCTCATCTAAATCACCACCATTCTGACCATAATTCTGATGCTTTCTCCAAACTAGGTCTTGAACCTCAAAATAACATTTTACTTAATGGGGACATTCAAAATGTCCCCAGAAGACCATGTGTGCCTACAAGTACAGTATAGCTTTACCAGGAGAAAAAAAAACACACACACACACACACACAGAGATAACGACTTGGGAACAACAGTGTTTCCATTGGTGTCCTCTGTTCTAATCATTCATGTCATTAAAATAACAGGAGTGCAGAGCAGCGCTGATGACAGTCAGCTCTTTACAGTATGACCTCTGACCTTTGAGCGCTTCCTCTTTATCTCGTCTTTTTCCAATCTGTATTTCTCTTGCCATCCTGCCTGTGTCCGACCCTATTCTCCTGAGATCATGACACCATTCATGAACACTGAAGATATTTAAAAGAATAATGGCAGCAGTTGTTGTCGTCGCAGGTCTGTACCTTGTTGTTGAATTAGCTGCGGTGTGTGTTTCATCTGTTTCACAGCTTTTACATGTCTGCTCTTAAATTCACTCATTCACTGATTCAAAGAAAATCATTAACTTAGTGTAAAACCTCAGCTTTATTTTAGTGTCACTGGTGTCCAATGTCCAGCTTTGGGTCCAAACCTGGCAATAGTACAGTTTTATCATCCAACGATTTGTTCCAACGACAGAGCAGGGAATTACTTTTAGAATTTGTTGGCAGATGTTTGGAATTTTTTTTTCTATCCCAATTTTTTCCTTTTTTGTGACTTTGGATTTGATATATATTTTGGGATAATGCTTGTAGAGTATTTATGGCAAACCTCTTCTGGCTAAACCGTATCTATTTCAGCTTTAACTTTTAATTAAATCTTTAGATATTTTCTGGTATAATGTTTGGCTATTTTTTATAGAATGTAAAATGTTTCAAAATGTACAATATAATACATTTTTCAGTATTTTGTAATGTGTGTTACTGTAATACTCAGCAGTGGTGCAGTTACACTAGATTATAAATAGCAGCACAGCAAAGTGAATAAATGAGGCTCAGATCTGACTGCAAGCATCAATGCCTCATATTTTAGTCCAAAGTTCAAAGGACATCAGTCACTCCCGTCCACCTTCACCATTTCCTAATGAATCTGATATGATAAGAAGCCATTGATTTGATCTTTATTCTTTTTGATCCTCGACTCTCTCACCTCTGAAGGAGCACCGCCATATGACGATGTTGGCTGCCATGTGTTTGATCATGTGTCTGTAATCTCTCCCTAATCTCAGATTATCTCACTGTGAGAATCTGATGATGCAGCATAAGAGGACTCCAAGCATTGGATAAATTGTCGCTGGTGATTGGGCAATTTAACAAACAACAGTTAATAGATGTTATTGGCTTATTTTTAACCTGCGTGTGTTGTAAATCTCCTGGAAGATGATGAGTCTGTCTCAGCTGAGCAGGAGACGTTCTACAGCTGACCCTGTGGAAACTAGTCCCTACACCTGTTTGGTGAATAGTGAGTGTAGACAGTGTGGTTGGATCCTGCTGTGACAGCTGTCCAAGCAAACCTGACCTGTCCACCCATTGGTTCACTGGACACATAACCGGAGATATGAGTTGAACTGTGTTGCCGTGATACACTCTCTATCATGTTTCCTGTTGGTCTAAATGTTCC